GGCTTATATAGGCCAAGAACCAGACACCTGACCAGACACAGCTGAAGAGAGTTGTCACTGATATCATTGCTTGTAGAGTCAAGGTTATCAGATCTCAGGTATATTTGCAAAAGGCAGGCTGGTTACTGGTAAGGAAGATGTTTAGCAGCATGTAAACCAGGGTACGAACCCCAGCAGAGTCAGTTCCTCACAGTAACCTTGTTACTGGCTTTTGGTGGAGCCTGTTTGCCAGCCTCCTGCCCTGTGACTATAGCCCCTGTAATTGACTTTGGTTAAAGACCCTGTTTGTGCCTTTTGGACTTGTAGGGCTACACTTAAAACTCTCGAAGCGGTTCGAATTGTCACTTCGAACTCCCGAACAACCGCACGAACCAGAGACCACCCTGGAGCTTGTTAACACCTATTAAGAACTTGGAAAGTATCTCACCACAGTGTTCTAATTGTTCGTCTGGGTGGCTGCAATTCCTATTGACAACCACAAGGTGGCGGCCATCTTGTTCGCATTAACGCAGGCAGCGGTGTTTGGGCATAAATCTCATGGAACTAAAATCGGACACAGAAACTCCCGAACACCGCTGGACTTCCAACATCGCCTGCGTTTGGTTCTATACAACTTAGAAGGGCACTGTTCAGTGAAATTGTTCATCTGGATGAGGGGAATAAGCTCCAGGGTAAGACTATTGTCTCTGTTCAGTAGATTGTTAGTTTTCAAACTACCGAACTAGACTGACCGCAAGCCCTGATTCTCTGGAACTGTCTTGGGCATGGGACCATGCCTGCAGTCGATCAAATAAATGACTTCCAGGAAATTCCTGAACCCCTGAACTGATCTGGGTGATTTTTGGATATGTTGGTCACCCAGATCAGGGCTATCAGGTGATGTTGTGAGGTTTTAGGTGTTTTGGGGGTACTTTTGGGGTGTTTGGAAAATGTGGGTTTTTCTGTACTTGGAGATAATTGGATTAGATTAGAACAGTTCCTGATCCAATTATCCGATCATGTATGGGAGTGTCATGCATTGTAACATTGTTGTCATTGGCCAGTGACTCTGTAAATCAGTCTACCAGCAGGTCCATGTGGGAGTACCCCTTGCATGGGGATTGTCATATAAGGACCTCTTAAAATCAGTCCATTTCACCCTCAACACGCAGCCTCGTCTGGTGATTGTAGCGAACAGCTATACAGGCTATAACCACTAGCTCTTGTAAGAGCTCTATAGCTATACTCTCTTGGAGGAGAGGCCTTTCCACTGGAATCTGAAGTTTGGTCCAGGGTGGGAAGGGACAGCGAGACCCCAATCAGGATATAGTGACTAGGGGGGCTACGGTGCTTATGGTGTCCAGTGCGGTGCTTATGCTTCTCAGCATTAGCTAGGAAGCATAGATTGGCGGAGGCACCCAGTCGGGGTGCCAGGCGGTCCGTCACAGGGACAAATGCAGTAAGATTTTTGAGTAACTGGATTAGTAGTGGAGAAAGGGACTTGAGGGGTCTGTTTGAGACATGACTTAGGGCCACCCTCATCCTTACCCGGGTAAGGTGGTGGTTGTATGAGGTACAAGGGGCAGCTGTAGAGATGAATCCTAAGACGCCAAAACATTGGTATTAGGGTACCTCATTCCTAGTGGTTTTTCTACAACCACATTTAGTCAAATCTACGGCAATGTCATGCCATTTCTGTGCGACTTCAACTAAATTGTTATCCATTAACCATCCTTTATAATTGGCCATAAATTCTTTCCAAATCTGTGGGTCCAGGCAGCCTTCAGAGGGCATCCTAGCTTTCTTAAGAAGCTTCTTTGCATCTTTAACTGCATTTATGATGTTTAACTATGGTAAGGGCAGTAAATTCCTCCTGAGTACTCTGAATTCCCCATTAAAAATACTTAAATGCAGCAGCTGCTCTTTAAGTCAAGACAAGAATGTTCTTAATCAGTGTAAAACACTTAGGACCATTAGTGGAATTTATTTACAGGACATGTCTTCAATTTAAACATAGGTCAGTATACCTGTCCTGGGGACACACAGAATAAGCACAGTTCTGAGAGTGAAGGTAATAGGTAGAAAAAATAAATACTTTCTTAGCTTGCTGCAGCACTTGTTCACAGTCAGAGACACTTATTCTGCTCTCTAGTTCTGGATAAAGTGAACTGTAATTCCTGGGTTTCGGCACCAAATTGTTGTGGATAAATAATACAAAGTATGTTTAAGGGAAACCAGATTGTAAATTCCATCACTTGGAGAAGCAATCAGACACACACACACGGTTGTTTATGTAATCAAAAGATGCTTCTGCTTTTTAACGGGAGCGCATACAAGGTTATATAGCAAATGGCTTTGTGACTTGCGCGATAAACACAGGATGCTTGAAGGCACTTTTTACCATAAAACGAATTTACAGAACTAAGCATATTTCAATGGTTTTATATATATATATATATATATATATATATATATATATAAACATGAAGTTACTGAGCACATAAGAAGGGGGGCTGAGGGTGACAGCTGCAATCTTCTCTTTAGAAGCCACATAATGTCACAAGTAAAAGAGATTGTGTGTACATATCAGGCACTAAAACTAGGGTAAAGTTCATCAACATATAAAGCATAACACACTCCAAGTTAGCCAATTTTAAACAGACTGGTCATCCGGTCATCTGTAGCTTGAGCCTTGGTTTAGGTATATGCCTTCACACTTGCGGGATTATGCACATTGCATAGTTCAGTGAACTCAGTAGTGATTAAAGGCCCCTGCTTGAACAGAAACGTTACGTAAGGAATTTGTCCAAGTGGGATAGATTTCTTCTGGAGTAATGTGTCTACCATGAGGGGGGCATGTAAAGCGGATTGCCAGTTTATACATTCCAGTGTACCTGTAGTTAGTGATATGAGCCCAGTGTGGAACCCTTGTGGAAAATCCAAATTTTGGGGTTGTTATTGTTTAGAAAACAAACGATTAGGGCACATGTTCTTGGCGTCTGCACTAAAACACTGTGCACAAATGTGTAACAATCTACATGCACTAAAACTGTCACTGACGGCGTTAGTTATTACAGACCTGAGTTTTCCTAGAAACACAATAGGTCTGCCGAATATGTCTTAAGAACTTGCTCTGGATTGTGGGAGAAAGTGGAAGTCTGGCTTGAGGTGGTGAATCTGCCCTGTGTGGATGCACATATGGCATGTGATGGAGGTTTAAGTCCTGCAAAGGAACAGCAGAATAGCTCAGTATTTAGTTGACACCAATCTGTACAAATGTTTAACTGGTAGTTGTATAATGTGGCACCCTATATTGTGCCCCAAATCCACTAATATGTGTAGGTAGAAATTGAGTTCCTTCTTGCGCTGTGGAAATGAGGAGCAAATAATGTCTCTGCAGGGTTAGAAACTCCAGTATTGGAAGATTCTAATTTCGTCAGACTCTTGTTAATGGAGTGAATTGATGACAGGATAGTTGTTATCATTGCATGCAGTGATGGACCTACCGCGGTTGCAGGGGTTGCAACTGCTACTGGGCCTGTTAGTTCAGTTGGCCAAGTCGCCCTGCTGACCCCTGCGACCAGGGTGCCCACCAGTCATGTTTTGCAGTCCCGATCCCACGTGATACTACCACCATGGCCGCGCGTTCAGGACGCATTCCAGATGCAGTGTATTTCCTGAGGGCCTGAACATTGCGCCAAAACATTGGTGTTAGGGTACCTCATTCCTAGTGGTTTTTCTACAACCACATGGTCAGCGCTGTGGCACTTTAACAGCCTGACTGGGCCCCTGGTGATGCTGCCAGAGCTGGAGGAAGGTTCCTTCTTCCCAGGAATCACTAAGCTACACAGGAGGAGGGGAGGGAGTCTGAGTGGGAGCTCTGACTCCCATCAGCCAAAGCTAGCCACAGTATCTGCTCTTTTACTCAAATAATAGACCTCATCTATTTTTATTTTGCACTTACAAGGAGCTTGATTCACAGTAGACTTTCACGGTTATTGGTGTAGGTATGGCTGTTTTCCATTCCACTAACTTGGGTCCAGTTAAACCAACAAGAATGGCCCCGAGTTCATACACTGACACAAAACAAAAACACAACCTATTAAATTTACTAGACAATGTTTAGAGCCTGGTTTAACTATTAGAAACTGGTTTAAAGGTGAATTGCATAAACTATAAATTCTAAGCCAAATATTGGCAGGACAGATTTCATTTGGACCCAAGCTACATAGTTACATAGTTACATAGTTACATAGCTGAAAAGAGACTTGCGTCCATCAAGTTCAGCCTTCCTCACAAATGTTGTTGCTGTTGATCCAAAAGAAGGCAAAAAACCTGGTCTGAAGCGCTTCCATTTTTGCCACAAACTAGGAAAAAATTCCTTCTTGACCCCAAAATAGCAGTCAGATGTCTCCTTGGATCAAGCAGCTATTACCCCACTAATTAGAAATTATATCCCTGTATGCTATGTTTTTGTAAGTATTTATCCAATTTCAGTTTAAACATCTGTATGGACTCTGACAAAACCACCTCTTCAGGCAGAGAATTCCATATCCTTATTGTTCTTACTGTAAAAAAAACTTTTCTTTGCCTTAGATGAAATCTCCTTTCTTGCAGCCTAAATGTGTGACCTCGTGTCCTATGTATAGCCCTGTTTATGAATAAATGTCCAGATAAAGGTTTGTACTAGCCCCGAATATATTTGTATAAAGTTATCATATCCCCTCTCAGGCGCCGTTTTTCCAAACTAAACAGATTTAATTTTTTTAACCTTTCTACATAACTAAAATGCTCCATTCCTTTGATCAATTTTGTAGCTCGTCTCTGGACCCTCTCCAGTGCCATGATATCCTTCTTTACAACAGGCGCCCAAAATTGCACAGCATATTCAAGGTGTGGTCTTACCAGCGATTTATAAAGCGGCAAAATTATATTTTCATCCCGAGAATTTATGCCCTTATTTATACATGACAAAATCTTACTGGCCTTAGCAACTGCAGATTAACATTGCATATTTCTGCCTAATTTGTTGTCTATAACAATTCCCAAATCCTTCTCGTGTGTGGTTATCCCTAATTCACTACCATTTAGTGTGTAAGTTGCTTGTGCATTCTTAACCCCGAAGTGCATAACTTTGCATTTCTCTATGTTAAATTTCATCTGCCATTTTAGTGCCCAGTCCCCAATCTATCCAAATCCCTCTGCAGCAAAGCAATATCCTGCTCACATTTTATTACTTTACAAAGTTTTGTGTCATCTGCAAACACTGATACATGGCTTTCAATGCCTATTTCAAGATCATTTATAAATATGTTAAATAGAAGTGGTCCCAAAACAGAACCCTGAGGGACACCACTTACCACTTTTGTCCAGCCTGAAAATTTACCATTAATTACAACTCATTGTACTCTATCCTTAAGCCAATGTTCTACCCAAGAACAAGAATATTCATCTAGACCAATTTCTTTTAGTTTGAAGACTAACCTATTGTGAGGAACCGTATCAAATGCCTTGGCAAAATCCAAGTAGATCACATCCACTGCAACACCCTGATCTATACTTCTACTTACTTCTTCGTAGAATGCAATTAGGTTATTTTGACATGACCTATGTTTCATAAAACCATGCTGATTATTGCTAATAACAAAGTTCTTCCCAATGAATTCCTAAATATTATCCCTTAATAGCCCTTCAAATATTTTCCCAGTTACAGAAGTTAAGCTCACAGGTCTATAATTTCCAGGCAAGGATTTGGAACCCTTTTTAAATATAGGAACAACATCTACCTTCCTCCAATCCTCCGGTACAACACCTGAAACAAAAGAATCTTGAAAAATTAAATAAAGAGGTTCACTTATTTCCCCACTTAGCTCCTTAAGTACTCGTGGATGAATACCATCAGGCCCCGGAGCTTTATTTACATTAATTTTCTTTAATAGCTGTAGCACCTTGTCTCGAGTTATCCAATCACAAGTTGTTTGCAAGTTTTTTTCAGCAATCATTTGCATATCTCTTGCCATAGGATCCTCATTAATATATACTGAAGAAAAATAGTTATTTAAAATTTCTGCTTTTTCCTGGTCTTCATTAGCTAATAAACCCAACATTGTTTCAGCTTTCGTTTTGTGATTTATTTTTTGTGTGATATTTTTTCATTCCTTTTTTCAAGTAGGCAGCTCTTTCCCCTAGGCAAATATTGTCCTTGGGTCTTACTGTCTTACATGTCCTTGCTTTACACACTGAGATTTAATGGATCTAAAGCCAAATCGAAACCAGGATGAGACTGATGCACATGTAATGCTTAATTAAAACCGGATTATTTTAGCTTTGAAAAGTAGCCAACAAACCAGCTGACCTGTAGGTTTAAAACAAGAATACCAGAAAAAAAAATGCCCAATTAATCCGTTTAATGTTTTACAAAGTACATAATATATTAGTTATTTTCATTATGCTGTCATGTATATAGAAATAGCAACTCTTTAGCGATTATCTTGTAAGCCCTCGATAATGCAGGCAGATTTCATGATTTGATTAATTTTATATTTATCTAGAACAATTTTTTTAAATGTATCTACAAACCAAAAGCTATAACCCTATGATCCAGGGGCATAGTATGGTTTATTAACAGTAAGATGTAATGTTGGAAAAATGCCTAGGTATCTATCTTGAGTACAGGGAAACATGTTATCAAATGCATATTTTTTTATTTATATGGTTGTGCATTTATGGGAAAAAAGAACAATTTACTACATTTACTTTTCATTTTAAAAACTTGAGTGGGATTTGATTATTATTTGTCCATGAGAGACCTCTCCAACATATTCTGTAATATTGTTTTGGATTAGGATATTACTATTTTTCTGAATTTATCCGAACCAATTCACAGCCACAGAATTGCAAATTATCATTCACTTGCTATTAGCAAGTGAATGATAATTTGAAGGACTATTTTCCCGCTGACAGCGCTAGCATGCAGCAGGCAAATAATTTAAGATTATGCTAGCGTTAGTGTACTTATAATCTTAATTTTAGTAATGACAGGAGGCGAGTATTTTGCATAAAACTCTCTTTACTAACTCCACATAGCAGTAAAGAAAAGTGAAACATTAACCAATCAAAATGCAATAGGAAGCATAGTATTCACTGATGAGGCTCCTCCCCCTCTTTCGAAAGTGACATCATGAATAAAGTTCCACAGAGTCCAAAGTCTAGTAACAAGCACAACAGGTGACTTTTCAAGAAACAAAATTTTAACGGATGAGGTTGCAAAGGTGTCCATCCTGAGAATGAGCTGTGAAGCCATGGATTTACACTGAAAGAGAATGTGAAATAGGTTAGGTACCGGTCTGGAAACTGGTTGAAGTAATGGCAATAACCCACGATTAGCTAAAGGAATATCATATTATCGACTATAACGACTGATTAGCACATTCAAAGCAAGAAAAAACAAACCAAGTCTACTGACTATAAATATTCAGAGCGAGTATATACAAACAGAATCTGAAGCAAGATAGAGACAGAGGTGATATCGGAGGTAGATATACTTACCTGAGTCTTATCTTCCCAAGGGAGGGACGGACGGGAAAATACTCGCCTCCTGTCATTACTAAAATTAAGATTATAAGTACACTAACGCTAGCGTAATCTTCAATTTTACCACATGACAGGAAGCTTCCTATTTTGCATTTTTAAAGCTGATGCAGGAGAGATGAGGCTGCTCCTGAGCTCAGGAGAAAGTAAAAGATCCGAAAGGTAGATTCTCGCGACCAGTCCGCGGAATGTAGGATATCCGCCAGCGAAGCTCCCGCCAAGAAAGCCTAAGAAGCCGCCACCCCGCGAATGGAGTGGGCTCCGAAGACCTCTTACATTCCCACCATTGATAGAATCCATCTTATCCATCTGGCGAGGGTAATAACCGAGACTGGAACGTGTGGTCTAACGTAAGACACCAAGAGCTGTCCCGAAGAGGAGACCCGGAGCGGAGATGTGACCTCCACATACCGACGTAGGGTAGAAACCATGCAGAGCTGTGGATCTGAATGGAAGAACGGGTAGAACACCGACGTAGAATCAGATTTTGTCCGACGCGAGACTCGAAAGGTAACGCCCTCTGGGGAGACCGAGAAAAGGCATCGATGTCGAATGCTTGGACGTCCGATACCCGGCGGAACGAGACTAGGCAGAGCAGGAGTGTCATTTTAGCGGAGAGCTGTCGGAGGGAGAGTCTGCCGTTGTCCGGTCAGTCCCTCAGGAATTGTAGGACAACTTCGACGTCCCATAAGCGAGAGTATTTGGGTTTTGGGGGCCTCTGTAATCGGATGCCCCTCAGAAGTCTGCAGACCAGGGGGTCTTTCCCTACGGAGATTCCCATGACCGGAACATGGGCCGCCAAAATCGCAGAACGTTTAGAGAGCGGTAAGAATGACCCGCGGAAAAGAGAAAAGAAAGAATATTCAGGATAGCCATTATAGGTGCAGTAAAGGGATCAATGTTCCATTCACTGCACCAAGAGGACCAGGAATTACAAGCTGATAGGTAACATTGTCTGGTTCCTGGCGCCCATGAATCCCATATGAGTTCTCTAGCTGCCTGCAATAACTCGCTGGTCTGCCAGGCACCCCTGAAAGAGTCCAAGCCACCAAGGCGAGATGGTCTTCCAGGATGAGAGGATGAGGGTTGCCTTTCGGATTCGTGAGGAGCGTTGGATAGGATGGTATGAGAAGGGCGATGCTAGGAGGTCCGGGAACCAGGGTTGGCCCCACCATAGGGGAGCGATGAGGAGCAGAGACCCACATTGGGTCTTCAGGTACTGAATCATCCTTGCTATCATGGTGAATGGGGGAAAGGCATATGCTCCCCTGGTTGGCCATGGTCGGAGGAATGCGTCCACTGCCCTGCTTTCCGGGTCCGGGAGCCTGCTGAAGTAGTTGGTTATCTGTTTGTTGTTGCGTGATGCAAACAGATCCAGGTGAAAGGGACCTCTCCTGTTCGAGAGGCGCTGGAAGATCTGTGGGTCCAGTCTCCAGTCGCTGCTGTCTCGCCAGTGGTGTGAAAACTAGTCCGCAGTCAGGTTCGTTTCTCCCCGGAGATATACTCCTATGAGGGAGATTTTGCGTGGCATGCAGAAGTCGAAGATCTTTTTTGTTATCTCTAAGAGGAGTCGGGATCGTGCTCCTCCCAAGCGATTGATGTAGCGGACCGCTGAGACGTTGTCCATCCGGAGGAGGATGCAGTAGTTCGCCCTTTCCCTTGCCAGGCTGCGGATCGCGAACGACCCCGCCAGGCGTTCCAGACAATTTATGTGAAGGGCGAGGTCCTGGGAAGTCCAGGCGCCTCCTGTCGACCTGCCTTCGCAAGTGGCACCCCAGCCCCAGAGGCTGGCGTCCGATTCCAGGACTATGTCGGGTGTGCTCCCGAAGATGGCCCGGCCGTTCCATGCCTCCATGCTGTCCAACCACCATCTGAGTTCCTGTTTTACCTCCTCCGTTACTGGGATGGTTTGGTCGTAGGAAGGGTTTTGGCGAAGAAAGGTCGTCTTCAGGCGTTGCATCGCCCTGTAGTGGAGCGGTCCCAGGAAGATTGCCTGGATGGAAGTGGATAATAAGCCTACTATCCACGCCAAGCTGCAGAGTGGAATGGAGTGGCAGCGCATGACCCTGCGTAGTTCCTTTCTGATGGCTGTGATCTTTGAAGCTGGCAGTCGTAGAGTGCAGGACATGGAGTCTATCTCGAAGCCCAAGAATTGTATGGTCTGGGCTGGAGATATCGCCGACTTCTGGTAGTTCACCACAAATCCTAGGGATGTCAGGAATTGTATGGCATATCATGTGTGTTGAGTCAGCCTGGACTTGTCTGAGCAAAACAGAAGCAGGTCGTCCAGGTAGCTAATGCATCGAATGCCTTGTGTTCATAGATGTGCAACTACTGGTGTCAGCAGCTTGGTGAAGCACTATGGGTCTGAGCTGAGGCCGAAGGGAAGGCATGTGAACTGCCATGGTAGGCCGTGCCACTGGAACCTGAGAAATTGTCGGCAGGAGAAGTGGACGGGTACTGACAAGTATGCGTCTTTGAGGTCCAGTCTTGTGAACCAGTCCCCGTCTTGAAGGAGGTCTCTTAGAAGGTGAATGCCTTCCATCTTGAAATGCCTGTACATTACGTATGTATTGAGCCTCCTCAGATTTATGATGGGTCGGAACTCTCGTGATTTCTTTTTCACCAGAAAAATATGGCTGGAGAAACCCCCTTCGTCGGGAGCAGGTTCGATCGCTCCTTTCGTCCAGAGTTCGTGCAGTTTGCCGTCGATGAGTTGGTGATCCTCCGCGCAGCACTGTATAGGGTGCGAGGATTAGTCTGGCGTGGGAGGTCCACGAAATCGATGATGTAGCCTTGCACTGTCTGGCGGATCCATGCGTCCGCGGAGATGGTGGTCCAGTTCTGAAATAGAGCGATACGACCTGCAGTATGTAGGGAAAATGGTACAGGAGTCAAAGGTCTGCTTACCTGTGTGGAAGCGTGCTCTGCCACGGCCACGTTG